CCGCATTTCAACTACGAATTTCTCAAAATTTCAAAATCCAAGTATTAATAACGGTTTTTACTAGATTTTAGTAAATTTTATACAGTTTGTGTGTAAAACAAGGTGGCCGGGACAAAATTTACAAGGTATCATAAGAAATGTAAACTAGTGGTGCATGGCATCAAAAACATTCATATCAAAAAATGAAATTTTTTAAAAACTTAACATTTAAATTAGATTTTTGAGAATGTTGAATTTTTTAAAAATATTTTTAACTTCCCGTAGGTCAGTTTTTGAGAGAACTAAGTGTCCGATTTAAATTATTCAAAGAACTTTCTGCTTGTCTTAACAAAATAATTGATTTTGGAAAAAAAAATTTGTTTCAACTTTTTTTTTTTTTAATTTTTTGTATATCGAGAACAATTCACATTTTATTTTTAATTCTGACTATAGTTCTAATATACTTTACAAATAATTTCAACTTTGCAATTCGGTTTATATAATACTTATAAATATTAGACAATGTTACACATTATTTATAATAATCTATTTAAAAACATTCAGTATTCCTCGAATATTTCGTTACGGTACGGGAAGTTCCAGCAATTTGCCTTAAGGCACGATGTCATAATTGCCTCAAGACACAATTCCATTTACAGCTAGTTTATTTATATTTTGAATTTTCTAAACTATTTTTCAATGCTACCGCGCTATGTACCTGTAGCTGTTTTAAAGACAAAATATGTATCTTTAATTATTTATATATTTATTCATAAGCAAGTAGTAATCAGTACTAATAATTATTATCTCAGGCTCTTGTCAGGTTCAAAGCGCGTAAGCGCCGCATCGCTGCTTGCTAGATAAACATTGATACGGAGCCCAAAGAAATATAAACAAAATTTGTACTTATTATTAAAATCACCATATAAAATCTGATAGTTTGATTTGCATATGTCTAATGTTCATTTTTGACCGCCAAATGGCATTGTTTTTATATTTTTTTACTTGATTTCCGAAACCACTAGACCTGCCTTCCCAAAAATTTAATCAGTTCTTCACCTTGTCAATACAAATAAAATGTTTTTTGAATCAAACTAATCGGACGCTCCGTTCTTTCAAAATTGCATTAACATTTTTGGCACTTTTTGCCCCATATCTTCGGAACGGCTACACCTGCCTTCGCCAAAAACTAATCAGAACGTCTCCTTATCAATACGAATCGAATGTTTTTTGAACCATTCAAAACGGTTGATTCGCGCGCCCAAAATCGTCGACACAAAATTTGTATTCGCACACACGCACACTCATACATCAATTTTTTCTAAGGTATGCCAAAATGTTCAGAAACCTCTGAAACGTAGATATATAAAAAATTTCATTTTCGATTTATTTGCGATTACTATAACTTACCCTACGCGGTAATTAAAAAAAAATTATTAGTCTAAAATGACTAGGACTAAGTTAAAAAAATTATCTTTGATAAAATGGTGACTGTTTTTTAAAAAAAGAGACAATTTCTCACCACTTTGAGTTTATAGCATTTTTAAAAATAGTAAAACTTGAAATTTGGGGGATGTTCAATAGAACTCAAGAAATCGTGGGCGTATTGAAAAAGATAGTTTTGAGAAAAATTATTGATGGATGATTAATGCTGATTAATTTTTGGCAAAGGCAGGTCCAGCCATTTCGAAGATACAGAGCTAAATGTGCAAAAAATGGCAGTTTTTGAGTGAACTAAGCGTCCGATTTGAATGATTCAAAAGACCTTTTGATTGTGTTGATAGGGTGAAGAAGCTGTTAGTTTTTGGAGGAGACGAATTATTCTTTTATTAAAATTTCAAAAAATATATTTTATTGAATATCAAAAGTGATTCGGATTTTAATTTTAATTCTAGCTAAAATTCTAAAGCTCACTTGTGTGCTTAAAAGGAAAAATTTTAATTTTACGATTCAATTTATATAATTTTAAGAAATATGAGATAAGGTCCTTTATTCTAACTCCTCTTGATTAAATTTTGTTTATTCACTATTCTTGTAAAAATGTATAAACACCGTCGTCCAATCTATAAGCTCTTATATTTCCTCTATAAAATACGAATAATGCAAGTTATTGTATTTATAATACTATTTGATATCATTTCAAATTCCACGAAAATGTCCACAACTATTTTTTTCTTCAGAATATACGCTTTATTCAATTTTCTTATTTAAAAAATAGCATTTTCGTAGCCCTTGCAATATAAGAACCTATATAATATAAGAACAAAATACTTATATTGTAAAAAGACGTATAAATTAACTAAATATAATGAATAAATAAATTAATTATGAGTTGAATAAATTACCTAAAAAATTGTTACATATCAACAAGAGCCTTCTTATTGTGTTGATGACTTGTGAAAAAAATAAACAAATACCAACGAGCTTTACAATTTTTGCTAAATTAAGATATTAATTCACTTTGCGTTGCAAATCACAACGCAAAACGACATTTCATATAAATAAAACAAGAAAAATAAAAAATTATGGTTACTGTTGCAATACTATGACAATGATTCTAATAAATACCTTCTTCCGCAGTAGTGGAACAATTCCTTTGCGACTTCCCCGCCAAACTCCTCTTCTTCTTCCTGCCTTTTGGTCGTGGAGGAAAGAAATTCTTTCTTGTTTGATAACATTTCTCACAATATCGAAACAGAGGATTATTGTTTTTACTTTTACACTGTATACACGTCCAATAATCCGCTCGACCCAACTCCGAATCCGTCGAGTACCCCGATTTACTATAAAAGAAATATAAAAATATAATAAAGACTGAATTATATATATACAGTAGAATCCGATTAGTATGACGCCGAATATATTGACAACCGCTTAATATGACGTAATTGCACTAGGAATTTGGTTTTCATATAAAATTCCTTAAAAAAACAGCTGTCTAGTCGGATATATTGACCTCGCTTACATTGACATGTCGCTTATAATGACCCATTTTTGCAAAAAAATATGTCCAATTATAATGACCGACATGATTTTACATGATGTGGCCAAGTCTACGAAAGCAATTGCTATGTCTTTTGTGCACAGTAGCACCAGGGACTGTTTTTACAATAAAATTATGCAAAGAAATCAATCAAAAATTACTGATTACTTACATTAAAAAACATTTGTATGTTTATGAGTAGGGTAGACTAATTATTAATGGCCCATCACGGATATCTCGTAAACAAATAAAATTAAATTTTTTTTAACAATTATATTTGATAGTAGAGGGCGAAAAATGTGTAAATTCATAACCAGCCATCACCTTCATTCTTATGACTTTGCTATCAGAAGATAAGCGGCACATAACTACGATAAAAAGAACCAGTTGAACCTTTATTTTGGCAAAGGTGTAAGCAATAAAATAGAAAAGTTTAAAAAAAGCAATTTTACAAGAGATTAATTGAATAAATTGTTATTCCGGCTCTTCTGATGAATATTTCTGACCAATAGCAAATCAATGTAATATACTGTGTTGTCTTTGTAACAAATGTACCCACAGAATTAATATTTTGTATTGGTTCAATAATGTAGCATAAAATGCCTTTAAAATTTAATAAAAGAAATTGCATCTGTTCACCCCCTGGTTGTTCCATTTTACCCCGTATGTGAAGTAAAATGAGTCAGATACCAAATGTTTAAAAAATAGTAAACAATATAATATTTATATAATTAGGAAATATGTACGTATGTATGTAAGTTTTTCTGAACATAGTTCGATAGATGCTTCTTTTATGTATGCTATGTGTTGTTCATTGGGTTTAGACAGTATAATTACCGTAAGTCAAATTGGACCGTTGTGCCCCCGCCCTACCCTATGTCAATTTTATTTTATATTAAATTTTAATATATGTCATTTTTATTAACTTCCCGTAGGGTAAGTTATAGTAATCGCAAAAAAATCGAAAATGAAAATTTTTATATATCTTTACGTTTGGCATACCTTAGAAAAAATGGATGCATGTGTGTGTGTGTGTGTGTGCGTAGTATGTATGTGTGTGCGGATACAAATTTTCGTCGACGATTTCGGGAACACGGATGAAGCAATTTGAATAATTTAAAAAACATTCAATCCGTATTGATAAGGAGACATGCTGATTAGTTTTTGGAGAAGGCAGGTCTAGCCGTTCCGGAGATACGGGGCAAAAAGTGCCAAAAACGGTAACTCAGTTTTTAAGAGAACGGAGCGTCTGATTTGAATAATTCAAAAAACATTTTATTTGTATTGACTAAATAAAAAACTGTTCAAATTTTTGGAAAAGCAGGTCCAACGACTTTGGAGATATGGGGGAAATAGTAAAAAAAATGAGCCATTTGGCGGTCAAAAATAAACATTAGACATATGCACATCAAATTATCAGATATTTTATAGAGATTTTAACAATAAGTATAAATTTTGTTTACATTCCTATGGGTTCCGTACCAATGTTTATCCGTTAGACGGCGACGCGGCGATTACGCGCTTTATGTTTTGTCTCCATATGCAGTTAAAGCCGTACGATTGCTTTGAAAAAAAGTTCAGATCTTTCAAAATATGTCAAAATAAAGAAAACATTTTTTTTCAAAAAAAAAAAAAAATTAAAAAAAATTTTTTTATTTTAATTTTTTTTTTCAAAAAAAGTAATTTTTTGTCCAATTTATAGTTTCTCAAAAATGTTATTTTTCCGAAGTAAAATTTTTTCAAGAATGTTAATCTTTTTAAAAAAATAATAATATTTGGTACGGGAAGTTCCAGCAATTTGCCTTAAGGCACGATGCCTTAGTTGCCTTAAGACAGAATTCCACTTACAGCTAGTTTTAATTAAAATTTATTTATAGGCTTTTCTTTTAAATTACTGAAACATGAAACATATTTGCATATTAAAAAGTTTTTCTTCAGTACGCTTTTAATGACGACCGGTTAGTATGACGAGATTTTGGCGGATTCTACTGTATATACATATAAGTTTCATCATCTATCTATTATTACCTGTCCTCTGTGTCTGCCCATATCGCAAGGTCACTATCGCAGATAGCTGCGACTAATAAATCTGTTGCAGTTTCAACTACACCCTAATATTAACACAAGTAATTTATGAGTACAGTTGTAAAAAATTTAATTTGCTCACATTGCCTTTCGATTGTACAACCTCTGTTCCACTGGAGCTAGCGTCTCCATCACCGAACACAAACTTCTCCTCTTTGTCACAATCACTGTCCACTTCGTATTCGACTCTCATCAATATGTCACCCACATCGACACTGTAACTGCTCCAGCTGTCCGATGAGTCTGTGTCACTCGTGTCTCTGCAGAATTCTAAAAGATAAATAATATCTATATATATATAAATCTCGTGTCACGATGTTGGTTCGCGATGGACGCCCAAACTACTGAACCGATTTTAAATTTTATTGACTCATCGTGTGCATATATATCCAACTTAGGTTATAGGAAATTTTGAAAAGTAAATTTGAACCTATCTTATACAATTTTTATAAATTTCTAAAAATTTTGACAAAAAATGACCAAAAAAAAAACAAAACACTAAAATGACAAATGTCAAAATTTAAGGAAATTTCGATATATAATTTTCGAAACAAAAATTTGACATTTCAAAAAATAAAATTGAAAAACATGTACATATATAGAAATATCCAACATTTAAATCAAAATTTGATGAAATGCTATATTCAAAATCAGTTTATAGTTTTAAATCTAATTAAAAATCAATGCTTAAATATTTGAATAAATGTTGACATAAAAATTATTTTTAATTATTATTAGTTGACGTAAAAAAATTAAAAGTCATTTGTCAGTATTTATGAAAATAATTATATAAATAGATTTACGATTTAGATTTAATTGATTAGCTTACCAAATTATTTCTGAAACCAAAACTTCATCAAAACATTATAGATCAGAAATCACAATAAAAAAGCGGCATATTGAATTTAAAATTAATCATAAACAAAAATTTGACATTTCACAAAAAAAAAGTTTAACGACTTCAGTAGGAAACAAATAAGTTAATTATTCCAAGTTATGTTATAGGCAATATTGCCAAGCAAATTATAGATACAAAACATTATTGTAAAATAAATATTATCATATTATATTAATTTTGGACCAAGAAGGAAATATTTTGACATTTATAAATTTAGTGCATATTGGATATATGAAATTGACATTCACTATTTTTCAATTAAATGCAAATGTAAAAAATCAAATATTTATATAAAAAATTGTATATTTAGATAAAGATACTGCGTTGATTTAGACTAAGTTTTAATTTATTCGTTAATTTAAAAGAAATTGACATAAACAAAACACTATGATGCATTGGAATTAATTATCGAAGTGTAAAGAAATTTGTGTAATTAAAATATAATATTATTATTAATATATCAGTTAAGATATATTTTGATTGTCATCGCAAATGCTAATCTTACAGGAAATTGTAACCTCTTAAATGGAATAGTACAATCTGAGGGTATCATTGGAATCTGACAAAAACAAACTAGACAAACTAAATATTATATCATATTATATTAAATTTTGACCGAAAAGAAAATATTTTGACAATTATAATTAATTTGAAATAAAATGCTAATGTCAAAAATCAGATCTTTATGTAAAAAAATATTTATTTCCACAATATTCCTGTGTTGATTTAGCCAAACTTATGAATTTAACAATTATATAATTATTCATTGATGACTTAAAATAATTATTAATTTATTAAAAAATAAATAATATTTGAAAGAAAATGTCAAATAATTTTGAAAATTATAACAAGTTTTTAACTATTTGTCAAAGAATCAGAGTCCAAATCTATTAAATATTTGATTTTTGGAACTTTTATTAATTTTGTACCAATTTAGGCATATTTTTTATGGCAAAACAACGTTTGCCGGGTTAGCTAGTATATATATATATATATAATAGAATATGATGATAGAATATGACTATTATCGATGTCTTCTGATTTTTGTAGACTTACCAGTTTCTTGACCCTGCACGCTATAGACACTTTCAATGTCTTCTTCTGAAGGCTGGGGGCTCTCGCTTTCCAATGTAATGTATTTCCATTGTAACCTGGGAGTCTTTCGTTCAGACTCGGAGCCCGATCCTGAATCCTGGCGCAGTCTTTTTCTCCAATTAAAACTACCTGAAAGACAAGCAAATAATACTATGTCAAATAATAATATAAATGAATTATATATTTATTAACTCAGACGACACCGAGCATTTCTACTTCTGCTCTATTATTTATAACTCCGAATTAAATTCTTGAGAATTCTAATTTTGTGTTTCAGTTTTTTAGAAGTGTATTTTTTTTATTGAAAAATCCTAAAATATTTTGTTTAGCAAATACTTGAAAAGATTTAAACTCAATAACAAAATGTATATAACTAATGGTGCATGGCATCGTGCCTCAAAGCAAATTGCAGCAACTTCCCGTACCAAAAATTAACAATTTTAAAAAAAATTAAATTTTCTTTTAAAACTCTGAAAAAATCGATTTTTGAGTTTTTTAATATTTTCGAAAAAATTGACCTTTTTGAAAAAATTGATTTTTTTTATACTTTGAAATATTTTGGAAGTTCTGAACTTTTTAACTTCTCGTAGGTAATGGGCCGAAAAGCGAAAATGAAATTTTTTTACATATCTTCACGTTTCAGAGGTTTCTGAACATTTTGTCATTCTGAAAAAATGAATGTGTGTGTGGAGACCATTTTTCGCCAACGATTTCGGGCGCACGTTTCAACCGATTTGAATGGTTTAAAAAACGTTCGATCCCTATTGATAGGGAGATGTGCTGATTTGTTTTCAGCAAAGGCAGGTTCAGCCGTTACGGAGATACGGAGCAAGAAGTGCAGAAAACAGAAATCGAGAATTTGAGAGAACGAAGCGTCCGATTTTAATAATTCAAAAAACATTTTACTTGATTTGAGAAGATGAAGAACTGATTGATATTTTGGGCAGGCAGGTCTAGCAGTTTCGGAGATCCAGTAAAAAAAGTAGAAAATAATGCCATTTGGCGGTCAAAAATAGTTATTAGATATAGGCACGTCGTGTTGTCGGATATTTTATAATGATTATAATATTAAGTGTATATTTATATGGGTTCCGTACCAACGTTTACACGATAGACGTCTACGCGGCGCTTACGCGCTTTTATATTTCGACTCCAAATCAGCTATGCAGCGTGATCGCTCAAAAAAAATGTTCAAAATTTTCAAAAAAAAAAATAGAATATAAAAAAATCAAATTTCAAAAATGGAATTTTTTCAAAGTTTTCTTTTAAAATTTAGTTTTCAATATGGAAAGTTCCAGAAATTTGCCTTAAGGCACGATGCTATACACTACTAGTTTTTTTTAATTCTTACTCATTTTAATACTTATTATTTTTTTAATTTTCAACACATTCGACTTTTATATTATGATATGATCTGTTTGTTGAACATTTGTGTCATGCGTTGCAGTGGGTAAACTTTTCATATAATTTGTGCTAGCTGCCTTTTACATATACATATCACATAATTTCATATTCACAATTTACATATTTTAAATATATTTTAAAATTACATTATTATCGACGTTTCGGAACTAGGTATGTTCCATCTTCAGGACATTTGACAAAAAACTTGATCTTGATTAGATTTAAATAAACTAAAACAGAAAAGTATATTGAAGAAAAAAATAAAATTAGTGGAGCGTACTTAGTTCCGAAACGTCGATAATAAATAAAAATCTTTATATATCTTAAATAACCTTTTGGTTCTTTATTGCAAATGAATTCTTTGTTTCTAATTTTTGATAATTATGATAATAATTATTTCTATTAGTCTCCCATAAATAAATGGAACAGTAATAATTTGTATTTCGTCTTCGAATGAATACTCTTTGTGCTCGAACACAATTTGCCTGAACTATTAATAATACCATGAAATTTATGTTTTTGTCTTTTTATATTATATAATTATATAGGAATAATAGTGAATTACCGTTATTGTAAAAGTTATTATCATTCTTTAAAATTTATATTCTTATGAAGGCTCTCGTAATGGGCTCTTTTGTGCCCATATCCAATTTATAAACTTATCGAAGCTCTTGTAATACTCTTTGGGCTCGTACACAAATTGCCTGAACCATAAATAATACCATGAGATTCATGTTTCTGTCTTTTTACATTATAGAACTATATAGGAATAATAGTGGATTATAATAATCAGGTTGGATGTCAAACTTGTCGAAAGATATTAATTTCGGGTAAAATTCCTACTTTGTGTACTACTTTGGGTTTGTATTTCCACCTATACCAAATTATCTACCTTAAACTAGATACTGTATCTGAAAGGTTAATTTCACCTATCCATAGATCAAGCTATGTGCAGGGCTTAATAAATAAAACAAATATAAAAGTATGGCTTCAATTTGTTAGGCAAGACGGATATTACAGCTGTTCAAGGAATGAGATTATATCGTCAGCGAAAAAGTAAAAAAATACAAACAGTAAATGAATGTATGTTAATTTTAATTACATGAAGTTCTTCAAACACAATTGTTACAGGATGAGTTAATTTGCAAAAACAATATTGGTTTAGGCGTTGTTTAACATAATCCACTGTGTGAATGAATATTATAGATCGTGTCATATTTCAAGTATGACTTTGATTGCATTATTGTTTGTAAATATTATACTTATTTTTAATGCAATCATAAATATATAATTTATAATTTATCATTATATAAATGTGTATAATGATTGACGACACTAATAAAGGTGTGCATCACGAGTGTTACCATATTACTAATAAACCTTATTCAAAATTTTTATATGATGTATTTATTTTTACTCAACTTAAATTTGCTACTTTAAACAGTAGCAGATAAGTTTTACTTCAATCGCGTGTGATCCTTACGCGCACTCTATTTTTTTATAATTATAAATAATAGTCATAAGTAAATTCATTTTAACGATGAAAAATTATTAGTAATAATTATAATATATTAGCGGTATAATGTATAATTCCAAGTAGCGGTAAATGTTGCGAATATCTTGTACATATGCCAGACAACCCTTAATAAAAGTTTATGATAGCTCATGTACCTTCGGCGAGCTATCATAAAACTAGAAAGATTGGAAATATTTTAAAAATGTAAAATATAAAAGTTAGTTGACGAAATAACAACTAAAATATTATAATAAAGCGCTAAATAAATTTTTGTATCTAAATGAATTCTTTGATTTCACACACTTCCAGAAGAGCTACAAATGTTCCAATTCTCATTGTTAAGTATTCCAAATAAAACTCTAATCTACTCAAGAAGTTATTAAAAATTGGTTACATTTAATCATTAATTAGTAAATTCATTACTAACGTCTCTTCAATTCTTATAAAGGCTCTTGTAATATCTTTTGTGCCCATGTACATTTTAGAAACTTATCGAAGCTCTTGTAATACTCTTTGTGCTCGTACACAATTTGCCCAAACTATAAATATTAACATTAGACTCATGTTTCTATTATTTTACATTATTGAACTTACGTATTCCAAGTATAATGAGCTGAATATGAACTGTAATAATATTAATTTAACATATTTGTTGAAGCTCTTGTATAAATTTTTATGCCCGTACACAACTTGCCCGAACTACAAATATGAACATTAGACTCATATTTCTATTATTTTACATTATTGAACTTATTCCAAGTATTATAAGCTGAATATGAACTGTGATAATGATAATTTAACATATTTGTGAAGACTTTTGTAATCCATTTGGTTTGTGTACAAATTACAAACCTAACCTCACTTTTTGCTGAGGACTTTTGTGACCTTGTTGGACTTTGAACATAAGATATCAGTATTAATTGTAACAATAAATATATAAACACATTTAAATAAATAATTGCTATATCAATAAATCTTGTTTAATGAATTAATTGTGTAATTAAAAAAAACATGTGTCAAACACACAAAGGCATGTGGGGGGCCAGCGCCCTGTACAAAATCCACAAACGCACTGCAAAAAATCATTTACACAATTAATAATAATAATAAATTCCTTAATACACTTAAAACTATCATTTTTATCCAAAACCAATAATCATGTGTCTATTACTATTATTACCTGCTTGAGGTGATGCCTCGACTTGCATTGAACTCATTTTAGTTAATATATATTTGTTTATAATAAAATCACAAATAATCACAGCACGATTAACGAAAATTACTAACTGCCGACTAATTTACTACTACAATTGTTAAACTAGTAAAAAAAAATTGCCGAATGGCGTTAAGAAAAATGTGAAATGTATAGAATGTGTGTCTTTTTGTATGAGACGACGAAGCACATACGCGGCACACACACGCCGTGCGAGTGGACAAGTCCGAACAGGAATACGGCGAGACAGGGGAGGACAACCTAAAATGAAAGAGAACTAGTGTAAAAAAAAGATAGGTGAATGGTGGTTAGTGTTATAGTTTGTAGTTGAAGCAACAAATTAATTTTTAAATTTAATTTGAAAATTTGCTTTATTTGACTTAAATACATGCATTGATTTTTACATAAAGATACAAATTGTATACACCTATTCTGGGAATATCATTAATAATAATCATTTACTACTATCATAATATAATATTGTTTGCATATATATATATTTGTTTCAATTAACACTTTCCACTCGGAAGTCGGACTGCTAGTCGGCACGCTGCGCTCGGAATATTATAGTGCTATACATATCTCTCAACTCGGAATTTTTTTTGTATCAATTTTTTTCAAAATGTGGTAATATTGCTTTCAATTACAGTTATTATGATAATAAAATAGAAATTAATTAAATTAAATTCATAATATTCAAAACGCAATATTTGTATGTTCATAGTTGCAAGGAACGCATTTGCGTACTATATACTTTTTACAATAGATTATCCCTTTGAACCTGAATAAATTGCTTATTGTGAAAAATGGAGAAATAATCAATTGTTAATTGTACCATCTGACACGAATAGAAATTTCC